TAGAATTCGCGGGTTGGCTTTGCACTAGTCTTTTACTAGACCCGGGCAAACACTGTAATGCCAGCGTCATTACCTCAGACACTTCTACTCTATTAGAGTAGCATTAATTTGTTAGGATCCTGATTGTAACTATCACGGTTTGTTACCTTGTATATTAAAATAGATTAGCTTGATTTATGCTTTCTGTTCCTTAGTTTTAGCTGATTTCCTGATGTAAATAGATTAGCTTGATTTATGCTTTCTGTTCCTTAAGTTTAGCTGATTTCCTTGATTTATGCTTTCTGTTCCTTAAGTTTAGCTGATTTCCTGATGTAACCAATTGTAAATCTTGGTCTATATAATAGACCCAATTTGATATATCATCAAGCTGCGAATGACAGCAACTTCTGTTATGGTATCAAGAGCTTGACGATCAACAAGCCTTCATTTTTTTTTTTTTTTCATCATGACTTCCGCACCTAAAACCTTCAAGGTTTCTGATTCTAAGTCACCCTTTTACCTGCACCCATCCGACAATCCTGGTGCTGTTCTCACCACGGTCATCCTCCGTGGACAATCCAATTATGAAAATTGGGCTGCTCATACTTCTCTGCCTTCGGTTCCTTCTGAGCCGTCATCAGCATCCATCTCCATGGCAGATTTTACACCAGAAGTTCTACAACATCTCATGTCCTTGGCTGTCTCTTCTGCCCCTCCAGTTGATAAACTTACGGGTAAGATTTTACACCCATCTTGGATCATCGACAGTGGTGCATCCCAACACATGACGGGCACACTCTCCTATCTATCCAATGTGCATTCTATTTCTCCTTGTTCTGTGGGACTGCCGAATGGAGTTCATGATATTGCTACGCAATGTGGCAGCATTACTTTGGGCTCTTCTCTTCATCTCTCCAATGTTCTTTATGTCCCTTCGTTGGCTTGTAATTTGATTTCTGTATCTCAGCTTCTGCGCCAGTCTTGCTTGGCATTGTTTGTTAATTCTGTTTGTTTGATACAGGACCTAAAGCAGAAGAGGACGATTGGAACGGGTGTTGAACGAGAAGGGGTGTATATATTGTGTGCATCATCAGCTTCTGCTCATGTTGCCAGTACGTCAGATTCTGCAGCACTATGGCATCGTCGTCTAGGACATCCATCTTCCCGTTATTTATCTTTGTTACCTTTTATTTCCAATGCAAACAATTTGGCTCCTTGTGACGTTTGTTGTAAAGCCAAACAACCACGAAGTCCTTTTCCTATTAATAATAAACGTTGTTTACATCCTTTTGATTTACTTCACTGTGATATATGGGGGCCATATCATATGGCATCTACAACTGGTGCCCGCTATTTTTTAACTGTAGTCGATGATTTTAGTAGACATGTTTGGATTTTTTTGATGCGCAATAAAACTGAAACTTCCACATGTTTACTTCGGTTTCTCCACTTGGTTCGCACCCAATATGATGCATCTGTTAAGCGAATTCAGAGTGATAATGGGACTGAATTTTTGTCATCTGTAGTCCAAGAGGCTCTCTCATCCTACGGTATTCATCATCAATTATCATGCACTTACACCCCACAGCAAAATGGACGCGTTGAACGTCGTCATCGTCACATCCTCAACGTGGCTCGTGCTTTGCGTTTTGATGGTCACTTACCTATATCTCTTTGGGGAGAATGCATCTTGACCGCTGCTCACCTCATCAACAGGACACCGACTCCACTCCTTGGTGGTCAGTGTCCCTATGAAGTTTTGCATGGCACTCCACCAAAGTATGATCACTTACGGGTCTTTGGGAGTTTATGTTACACTACTGTTTTACCCAAACCACATGACAAGTTCGCTCCTCGCTCCCGTAAGTGTGTGTTTGTTGGCTACCCTTTCAACAAAAAAGGATGGAAGGTCATGGATATCTCCACTCATGAAATATTTGTTTCTCGTGATGTTTTATTTCATGAAACTATTTTTCCATTGGCTGCAACTTCATCTGCACCTTCTGTCCATGTACCGTCACCACAAGCTGTCTTCACCGATTATGATGTGGCACCTGTTACTGCTATTGATACTCCCACAGCGGAGCTTGATGACAGGGGGAGTTCATCCTCCCCAGTTCCGGGTTCTATTACTTCATCCACGGATGTCCCTGGTTCACCGGTTCCGTTGACAGAACCCAACACTGCATCTGTGGCAGATATTCGTGAACAGCGTGCCAGACGTCCCCCATCTCATTTAAAGGATTATGTATGCAACACAATGACTACACCCTTTCCTCGTCTCTCCACTTCTCCAATCGACTCAGGTATTCAATATTCCATTGATCATTATGTTTCTAATGCATTATTTTCTTCGCACCATCAGATTTTTCTTGCCGCCGTGGATAGTAACCTGGAACCCAAATCATTTAAAGAGGCTATGCAATATCCTCATTGGCAGAAAGCCATGCAAGCCGAAATTGATGCATTGGAAGCCAATCATACTTGGCAAATTCAACCTCTCCCTTCTGGTAAGAAAGCTATTCCATGTAAGTGGGTGTACCGCATCAAGTACAATTCTGATGGAACCATTGAACGCTATAAAGCGCGTCTGGTTATTGCTGGGAACAATCAGATCGAAGGAGAAGATTACACTGAGACTTTTGCACCGGTGGCTAAAATGACAAGTGTGCGTACATTTTTATCTGTAGCTGTAGCTCGAAAATGGAGCATTTTTCAGCTGGATGTTCAAAATGCCTTTCTCCATGGCGATTTGGATGAAGAAGTCTTTATGCGTTTTCCTCCCGGTTTCTCCCAAACCAAGTCTGGTCACGCCTGTAAGCTTCAACGTTCACTTTATGGTCTCAAGCAATCCCCACGAAATTGGTTTGCTAAGCTTCGTAGTTCTCTCCTCAGTTTCGGCTTTGTTCAGTCTCGTGCTGATTATACGTTGTTCACTTACTCGACTGGTTCCCATTATGTTGCTATACTTGTCTATGTAGATGATATTTTGTTGGCAGGTAGTGATCCTTCTCTCTGTGACCGTGTCAAAGCTCATTTACAAACCTGGTTTAAAATCAAAGATCTTGGTCCCCTCAAGTATTTTCTTGGCATTGAATTTGCTCGAAGCAAGACCGGTTTGTTTCTTACTCAACGCAAATTTGCTTTGGATATTCTTAAGGAATGTGGACTTCAAAGTTGTAAACCGGTTGCTTATCCTATGGATCCCAATCACAAGCTTGCTCTTGCTGAAGGACCTCCGTTTGATGATCCTAAACGTTATAGACGTATTGTTGGCCGTCTTGTATATCTCACGATTACACGACCAGAACTTAGTTATGCAGTTCACACACTTTCTCAGTTTTTGCAGCATCCTATGCAGATACATTACGATGCGGCTATTCGTGTTCTTCGGTACATTAAGTCCAATCCTGGCCAAGGACTCTTTCTTCGATCTGACAGTGATCTTCTTCTTCGTGCCTATTGTGATTCGGATTGGGCTAGTTGTCCCTTGACTCGAAAATCAGTCACTGGTTATTTTGTTACTCTTGGACATTCTCCTATTTCTTGGAAAACCAAGAAGCAAAACACAATATCCCGCTCCTCTGCTGAAGCTGAATACCGTGCCATGGCAGCTGCGACTTCTGAGCTTATTTGGTTAAAGTCTTTTCTCAGCTCTCTTGATATTCCTCATGCAGCCCCTATGCAACTGTTTTGTGACAGTCAGTCTGCTATTCATATTGCTTCTAATCCAGTGTTCCATGAGCGTACCAAGCATATCGAGTTAGATTGCCATTTTGTTCGGGACTATCTTCTCAGCAAGACTATTTCTACTCAACATATCCCCACTAGTTCTCAACCCGCAGATATTATGACCAAAGCACTTGGATCCAAACAATTCGATTTTTTGACTTCCAAGTTGGGCATCTCCTCCCTCCATGCTCCACCTTGAGGGGGAGTATTAGAGTAGCATTAATTTGTTAGGATCCTGATTGTAACTATCACGGTTTGTTACCTTGTATATTAAAATAGATTAGCTTGATTTATGCTTTCTGTTCCTTAGTTTTAGCTGATTTCCTGATGTAAATAGATTAGCTTGATTTATGCTTTCTGTTCCTTAAGTTTAGCTGATTTCCTTGATTTATGCTTTCTGTTCCTTAAGTTTAGCTGATTTCCTGATGTAACCAATTGTAAATCTTGGTCTATATAATAGACCCAATTTGATATATCATCAAGCTGCGAATGACAGCAACTTCTGTTATACTCTTTGAGTTAGTTTTTGGGATGGTGCATCTCAAGGTTCTTATCACTATCACTGGCTGATTTTTTTTTTCAAGAATTGATGCATGGGCTAAAAAAATTTTCTTGCTGGCTTTCATTCTTATCATTCTTCATGTACCAAGAAAAAATCTAAAAGAGTGTTTCATATCTGGCTATGTATTACCTACTATTGTAATACCCTGCCTAAGTTGCTTCCAATTCATCCCCTCTCATAAAATTTCCTGGCTCCACTATTGTGCCTTGAATTTTAAACATAAATTAAAGAAAGATATATGAGCTATGGATGTTAAGGAGAGATACCTCATACCATCTTAACTCATGCATCATCTGAAAAGCTGCTCCTGAAACTAGGTTAAGTTGGCTTGGTGGTGCTAATTTTGCAGCACAATGAAGTAAATTGTTTAGATCTTCATCCTCAAATGTTGCTACAAAATTCCTGATTGAACTTGTCTCGTGTATTAGATTAAATATGTCAGCATGGCGATGCAAAACCGCAATGTGAATGATGCTTCGATTTTTGGTATCCACTTCCCATGTGAGATCAGGGTAAGATCTAACAAGCTCAGCTAACATCTCAAAATTTCCAACTTCTGCAGCAATTAATATTACTTGAGATGGTTCACTTATGATTTTTTTCATTTGTGTCTCTGTGCAATCAAGAGAAAGAAGTGCTCCCCAGAGACACCTAACAAGTTGGAGGGCCAGAGTTGGATTCTTACCTATATATCACAAATAATTTGAGAAGTTGGTAATTTATATGATTATAAACTAGTGACCATGAAATCAATAACCTGATTCGAACTATCAAGAATATGAAGAATATATTCCCTTGTTCTATATGCTCTAATAAATATAAAATGTTGTGTCCTCAATTTGTCTGAAATATATAGGACTAATATGTAAAAAGACACAGATGATCCCAACAGCTTCAACAACAATGATTACGGAGACTTAACTTACTTGAGTTCATGAGCTGATTTTGATACCTTCGACCTTGACGATTAAAAGCTGAAGGCTTTCGAGCCAAAACATGAAAGCCCGTCTCATTGTTCTCATTCCTAGCCAATGCTAGAATTGGATTGGTTTGTAACATTTTTAAAGCCAAATCTGCAAAATTTCCAAACGAGTTGCTAGATTTGGAAATGTTGATACCAGCGTAATAGTAGTAATTGCCTGCCTATATGCATCAAATTATCAATTTATAATTTTTGTTGTTCTTAGTCAAATGTTAACCATTAATTTTCTTATGTTGTAGAAAATAATTTTATCTTCTACATATATATAAAAAATATGTAGGACTCATGTGGAGTCATGTGAGGAGAAGAGAGAAAAAAAAAATGGGCTCACACACTTTTATGTATATATAGAAGATAAAATTATCTCTTACAAATTAGAAACATAAATCCCTTTATTTAGTTATGTAATTCTTAAGAAATTTGAGATGTAAAGACACAAAAGTAATACGCAATTATTTTTCTGCCCATGTGCTAGGTTTCGCCTTCTTACATGTGGTAAGAATCCCAACAACTCAAACTATTAAGTGAATGACATTTTAATGATTTTATTATATGTCTCTAATAAACCTTATTACAGAAGAACTCTTTACACAAATCTATTTTTATTTTTTGTTATACCTTGTGTTAACTGATATCATAATAAGCAATTATCTCATCTAATAACTCAAGTTGTTAGGTAAAGGCCACCTTAATATATAGTTTTATATCATAAGTCTCTAACATAAGGTAAAATCAATAATTTTATATTATATTTTTGCAACATTTTTCTCATTAATATACTAAATGAGGGTTTCAACATTGCAAATCTCAATATTCACGTGCTATAAGAACGAGGGTATCAGGGGCAATATATACATACCATATATACCAGTGTTGATACAAAGGAAGAACAATAAACTCCAATCTCCATCGTTGAATATGTGGACGGTTAAAGGGTACAGATACATTGCCATTTCCCTTTGTCCTTGTAAAGCAGCCATGTGAAGTGGGGTTACTCCTTCTCCACCCCTGATAGTTGGCAACCTCCTATTTTTTCTTACCATAGCTTCAGCAATTCTTACATTTCCAACAGCAGCAGCAAAGCAGAAAGCAGTGTTGCCTTTGTAGTCTTGTATTTCCAAGTCATCTTCATTCAGCAGTTTCACAAGCTCCTCTATGAAGTACAAATGATTTGCTTCTGCTGCAACATGAAGTAGTGTTGCCCATCCCTTTGAGATTGCAGCATTAACCAACCTGCTATCTGCAACTAATATGGTTCTAGCTTCTTTCCAATCCCCTTTAATTGCAAGGTTGTAGAGAGGAACGCATTTGTTGAGGTAATCCCCTAATTACATGAAGTAAGCAAAGGTAAATAAAAATAGTTTACAGCTTCTGATTTAAAATTAAGAGAAAGATTATATTTACAAATATTTTGTTAATTTACAAAAGAAAAAATGCTTCTGCAGTTACTGTATATAAGTTATTTGTATTCATTCTCAAAACGACGTTATTTTGGTATTGAAATCTTAAAAAATTATAAATATAAAGACTATTATAACCTTGAAATAAATTAAAATTACAAAAACACCATGATTTTCGCCCAAAACGACGTCGTATTGGGCTTACTGCATATAACTTATCTGCAGTAACTGTAACTGCAGAAAAAGCGAACCTATTTACAAATTCAACTATGTATTCTTGGGAATAGACTCGGCTAGGAATGTATTCTCGAAAATATATAGTTGAGTTTATAAGAGTTTATAAATAAAAAGTTTGTAAATATAACTTACCTTAAAATTAATATTAAAAGAAAAAAAAATGGAAAAATCCCTGATAAATTAAAGCCAGTTGAGAGAGTGAAATAGATTTTGTAAGGTAGTTTTTCGATCTAGTCTGTTTGATTAAATTTTTTGTTAAAAATATAAAACCATTTTAGTGTCCATCTATAAGGTTAAGCTTGGTTGTAAAGTGTGATTATTCAAATTTCAAATGACAATTTTTTTAATTTTTTTTAATATTTGACGTATGATTATGTCAATACTAGTTATAGTGCTGAAACTTACCGTAATTATAAATTGTGATTTAATTCCCTTAATTATAAAAAATCAGCATAAAAGTAAAATTTATGACTTCGTATCCCCCTCCCCTCCAAAAATAAAAAAATTGCGACCATAAACTTTGTCAAAAGAGTCTTAATTAAATGAAATATCAAATATTTTATTAGTTTTCACCAAAAAACCAGAACTTATTATAAACTAATTGTTTTATTAATATTTCTATTGTCTCAATCTTACCATCCAATAATCACTTTTATTGTTTGCAAATGTTTTTTTCTACAATAAGCGGTTATTCGATGCCCCGGATTAAAAAATAAATAAGACATCAAAATAAAATACATCCTATATTTTTAGCATCTATATCCTATTCATTGAAGAATGAAAGTTTTTACATGAGTTTTGTTCTTCTTTTTTCTTTTGACTTATACAGTGAGGATATTTCAAGTTAATTTTCGTCCTTATTACATCTGTTTTTTTTTTTTATACCTTTTTTGGGGGTTAATTTTTAGTGCGCCCTTCACATTAGTTGGGGTATTTACGAGAATTAATGTTCTTGCGTGTTAGCATTAGTTAAAACTTGATTAGTAAAACAACGAGCACACCTAACTAATGTGCCACCTCTATATATTTTTTATGGGAAAAACATATATCCTTTTAAAGGATATAACCTTATATCATTTTAGATCGTAATCGTTGATTTTCGTATATCAACGGTTATAATCTATTGGGTCAAACTTAATAGGCCAAATTTATTATTAATTAAATATTAATTTTAATCCAATAAATTATAACCGTTGATGGACGGAAATCACGGTTAAAATCTAGAATGATATAAGTTTATATTATTTAAAATGACAGATGTTATTCCCATTTTTTATTTATTATTTACTGGCAGTGTTTGCCTCGTGATAATGCAGATTAGCAAGTATGTGCAGCTAGCGTATCATAAGCACAGTTAATTATTCTTATTCATAAAGACATATATATTTAAAAATATAAATCAATAATCCCAATAAGAATGATGGCCAAATTACCAATGAAGTAATTGGATTAATATTCTATTATGATTGGTTGGTAATATGTCCTGTTACGTTGATCATGAACTAGGCCTTTTCAGGCTTCAGCTGTGAAAGTGTGATATTTGTGTGCTTTGCATATGTGTAAATGATTATGTGAATGCAACAAAGATGGAGAGGAAAGAAAGTACTTGTATTCTGTACTAGATCACACGAAGGACTTCTGAATTGAACTGAGGCAACTTTATGGATGACTATCTCTAGTTCTTCTGGATTTGTTGTATTTCGAACTGCCATAGCCATTTGCCTGTAAATAATACATTTCATGGAAACTAATTTTGATTACGAAATTCCATGTGAAAAATAATTGAAAAAAACTAATCCAACTAATAAATTCCTTTATAGTTTATTACAAGCACAAGACCTGGTCTTAAATTTTGTTTCACCTATCTTATTCCAAAATTTATATAAATAAAAAAAATTCATTGAAAATTTAAAGGTTTTCATCTGTCAAATTATTGAAGAAAAAAATAATAAACAGGGATACATAATTGATGCTTTTGAATAAATAAATTAGTTACTTCTAAGAACATAAATAAAATGATAAGATTATAAAGGAATATATTTGAGAATGAAATTTATATTGATATTTATTTAAGAGAAGACAAAAGGAATTCATTAAAGGTAATTTACTCACGTAAGAAGAAAATAAGTAGAAAAGTAAATCAAATGAAAAATAATTTAATTAAAATATAGAAAAAAAAACTAATAGAAAATAACTGAACCATATAAAAAAGATATTGCCATAAATTGTTATAGTAAAAATGAAATTTTATATCCATTATAATTGTTAAAAGAAGAACCACAAAAGTATCCTTTAGATATGTTTAAAAAGGGCTAAAAAATGGATGGTACTAAAATTTTCAAAAAAAGAGAGAGTAGTTTATAAGGAATCTAATTACCAATCATCTGAGTACCAAAAAAAATAAAAAAATTACCAATCATCTATACATATTTCTTGGTCTTGTGGTGAAAAGACATAAATACGAAACGATCCACAAGGTGCTAAAGTATTTTACGCGTATCAGTCCAGGTGTAAAACAAAAAGTTGGGTTGGTTTTGATGAGCCTTTCCTTCATAAAAAAACATTAGGTTTTTGAAAGAATTTTAAATAAATAAGTTATTTTGTTTGTATCGATGTACACTTTAAGACATATTGTTTTTGGATTAAGTGTCTATACTTTTAAAGGATACAAGTTGTATCTTTTTAATTTTTTACACTATGTACTACAGGTAATATATAATTATAATATGAAAAGTTATTTTTTTTCTCTTTCCAGCTAAAGTGACTAAGGAAAGAGAATTTTTTTTCATATTATAACTATATATATACTACCCATAGTATATATTGTTAAAAATTGAAATGACACAACTTATGTTCTTTTAAAAGAATAAACATTTTTCCCACGGTTTAGGAAGGGTTATATTTACAAACTATTTTTTCCAAACTCTTACAAAATACATTATGTACTAATATGTACTAAGGGTAATACACTATATGCTAGAATGTACTACCCCTAATACATAGTATAGTTTATAAAAAATTATAAATAAAAAGTTTGTAAATATAACTTGGGTTTGCTTTTTCTGCAGTTACTGCATATAAGTTATCTATAGTAAGCCCAATATGACGTCGTTTTGGGGCGGAAATCATGGTGTTTTTGTATTTTTAATTTATTTCAGGATTATAATAGTCTTTATATTTATAATTTTTTAATATTTCAATACCAAAACGGCATCGTTTTGGAAATAAAGCAGATAACTTATCTATATTAACTAGAGAAACATTTTTTCTGTATAACTTTCCTCTTGTTTCTAATGATTAAAAAGTTATTTGATGTTGTAAAAATGTATCGTTTTGAAAGTACAAAACTCTAGCATTAAAAAACATAAATTATGACATTTTTTAACTATATCTTTTTTCTTAAAAAAGTTCATTTGAATGCATTAAAGTATAAAAATATAGTTTAAAAAATAATCAAGAAAAATATATTCAAACCATCACATAATCATACTTCATGATGAGACCATTTGAGGACATCATAACATTGAAATTGCCATGGTGCGGTGGGAGACAAATTTTCTTAGCGGGGCCAGTGTTGGGGTCATAAAGAGAGAATTGTTATCAAAATTTTACTCAAGTAATATGAAGAGATTATTTCATTATTATTGTATTGGTAATTTACTAGCATTAGGTTTTCATGAAATGCAAGTTATGATATTTTTCATACAGAAAGTTTAAGAACGAGGGGAGGTTGCCCAGGTCAAAGTCATTTAATTATTTTCCTACTTACGATCTTGTTAGTGGTTTTCATGAAAAACAAAATCTTTAATTCGGACCAAATTTTTTCACACAATACCAAATTTGTATAACTCACTCGGTAACATAACATAAATTGAGTTGGTAGGAAGAGATTCGATTATCACCAAATACATATTTGAAAATGGACAAATAATTTTAATTATGACTAAACCTCAACTCAAAAGTAGTATAACAGGCTCAAAAAATTAAAGCATGTGATCAATATACCAAAAAATAAAAATAAAAATTCTTCACGTAATTTGTAATAAAGTTAAAGAATTTATATATATATGGCCATGATATTTTATATATATTTTGAATATTTATATTTAATATATTTAATTGCTAATGAGAATCATTAAATATAAATAGATCAATAGTTAAGATTGATTGTAAAATTTCTTATTTTTTAAATATATAATTATATATGACAATTATCCAAATAAAAAGCTGGATTCATTCGTGTATACGAACGAACCCAGCTTTTTACACGTATCTCCTTGTGTAATGCACTTTGCCCATGCAAAACACATGAGAAAGCAAACAGTGACGTAGTAGACTTTACTTCCTGATGAGTGAGACATTGTTTTCACTCGGGACAGGGCACTGTTGTTCCCCACCCTCTGCAAAACAGCAACGTAAAATCCATCCTTTCATGAAAAGTTAATCTTTTTAATGTGTGCGCCTGAAAATTTTCATTATTAGTAGCTCCATACCTGAATTCCAAGTTTTAACAGAATCTTTTGCTCCTTCACTTGCCTGCCACAAAGATGAACACCCAAATCATCAGCAAGACATCTTTCAGATGTACAAAAGAATCATATGTTGTGTAAAGTCAACAAAAGGAAGTATAATAGATTACAGTAACGTTACGAAAGGAACAAAAGAATAGAGATTATGAAATAGGCTTAATAGAAGAACGCAAATGAAGTAAATATAGTACAATCAAGTAAAAGAAGAAGATCAAAGAAGGAAGGAAGAAAAGGAAATTTTAGGTACCAGAACAGCTTACACTGAAGAAGTTCAGGAAATGAAAAAGCAAGCAGTTTATATATATAATACCAAATCGGAAATGTTCGCGAAATTGAGTTCCCTTTTTTCCTTCTCCACATAATGCTGTGGGATTGTTTCCACAGACAGTTCAAACAGCAATTATTTGAAATCGTAGTAGTTGTCAGAATTGTATTGGATCAATCAGTTTGACTAATCTAGGCATACGCATTACACACTTATTTGAGATTTTTTTTTTAAGTATATAAATCCTAATTATTTCTTTGAGAGACGAGTCAGTCTCTGATATTTCAAATTTAATTTTTTGACCCAACTATGAGATTAATTTCAAATTAATACTTAATCACATTTAATTAAAGCTCTCTGCCCCTTTTTAAAAATGTATTCGTATAACCGAATCACACTCATTGAGTCTTTTATTTGAGACTTAGTTATGTTTTGTTGAAACAAGCAATCACTCAATTTTTCTTTTAATTTTTTTTTGACAATTTAGAAATATTTTTACGTTTCATAGTTTTAAATTTAAATTATTTTTAAGATGTCATTTGATTCAGCCAGTCAAGTAAACAATTGAACAACCTGAACCTGATCTAGATATCGGCTATTTCACTGTTTGGTCCAAATTCAACATTAATCATTTGAAATAATAGCTATTAATGTGAACACACACATATAATTATTAATTTGTCAAAATTACAAAATAAACTATTCCTCTAACCAAATATACTATATATATATATATATATATATATATATATATATATATTGTAGGAGATAAAATTATCTGTTACATATATATAAAAATATGTGAAGTCTATATAAAGCCATGTGTAAAGAAAAAAGAGAAAAATAAAACATGAGAGACATTAAATCCATATATAGTGTTATAAAAAAACTAATTATAAACACAAAAATTCATTTTTTATCATTATTATATAGTGTCAGTGGTTATGCACCCATTTACGACATTTATGTACTTAATAACTATTTTGTATAAAATGATTTAGTAACAAAATATTTTGAAGGATTAATATGATAACATCTAGTTTTTGAAAATTTGATTTGGTGACTTTAAAAAAACTAAATGATGATATCCTAATATTTAAGCAACAAGTAAACAATTCACTCTTTTAATTATATTAGACTCAAGTAAATATTGCTTGAACTTTATTCAATATTTTAATATGCAAACGCAGCATAATATGGTTAAAAAGGACAAAAGAAAAAAAGAAAAACAATTAACGATTTTGATGAACTTGCGAGGAAGCGAGAGTTTGGAAGTAGAATGCATGAGTAAGAAAAGGAAAAGTGCTCTCGTTCTTAGACGTCAATGAGGTCAATGAAATAATTATAGAAAACCAAAATGGATTAGTCCATCATATGGTTTAGGAATTTCGACATTTGAACACCGCAAATGATATCTCCATACGTGTCCTTTTGAAACCCTTAATTAGGCTTTTTCGAGTTTCAACAAAATAACATTGGTCATAAATGATGAATACAAATCTGCAAAGAGAGCTTCTTTACTTAAGCAGCATTGCGTCATAAACCTAGCAAATTCATTCTTTTCAGCCTTATGCTTAACTGAACACATTGTTTTCGGTTAATTACATATTAATATTGGGAAATGACAAGTTGGGAAGCTAAGCCATGGTAGGGCCTGTCGAGGACGTGATGAATGCTGATAGAGAGGGGGGCTCTATGGATACTGTGTGGGTTTCACTTAATCTCTTCACATGTACAAATAGAGTAAGGGCTTAAGCTAGACTTTAGCCTAATAGGACAGGCTTATATTATATGTAGAACATTTATTGATGAAAGTTAAATTATATGTCTGGTTTAATTTTTTTTTTGAAAAAAATATATTTTTTGTTTAACCTATCAAGTCGACAAAGCTCACCAACACACAATAATTTTAAGTAAGAAATTA